ACCAACAAATAGATAGCTCCGCAGTACCATTCGCATGATCCGTGCCTCTAACACCACTACCAAGGGGTCAGCGCATATAGCTCTGACATGGCACCGCATCGCTTATAACTTGATCCATGCCTTTAGCAAGCAAATCAAGGTGGTCTGTGCCTATAGCACAATAACCGAATAGTCAGTACCTTCAGTACAATAAGCAGGCACTCGTTTTGACAACCGCCAACATTTTCTTTTCCACCAATCTCATATCTACTTTTCTCATCATGGACAGTCAATCACAACAACCAATGTTCATAGACAAACAACAGTCATCAACACTCACAACGCAATGGCCACCGCTCAATAACAACAGCAATCAACACACAACAATATATAACAAGGGGTAATCAAAGGGAAGTGTATAACAATCATCGACTTTCATTAACAAATGACAACAACACTACAACCACTACAAAAAAACGCGGAAATAACGACCGATTTAACGACGGATGCATTCCGTTGCTAATTTAGTGACGGAATAGCGACAACTTAGTGACCGATTTTAATTTTTTTGTGAAATAGAACTATAGCGACGGACTAGCGACGGATTGGCGACGGGTATTGCGACGGAAAATTGTTGTCGTTAAATACGTAGCTATTATTAGCGGGAATTTTTGGCGCAAAACTTAGAGAGAGATTAGCGACGGATTAGCGACGGAAATTTCGCGGGTTAATTTCTTATTTTTAATAGCTACAGAGTAGCGACGGCAATTAAGATCCGTCGCCAAACGTTTGAGGGGCATGTATCCTGGTTCAAGTCTAGCGACGGATATCCGTATCCGTCGCTAAAATTTGTACGGGTTTAGACATCCTAGCGACGGATGGTTAAATCCGTCGCTAAGCTTTCTAATATAGTTTTTGGATATCATTTATTTAGCGACGGACCGACAAATCCGTCGCTAAGTTGCCTACATGGTTTTTCGAATTATTTCCTTAGCGACGGACTGTTATGTCCGTCGTTAAAGTTTTGAACCAATTTTTTTTTAAAGGGTTCTTAGCGACGGATTTGCTAATCCGTCGCTAGGAGTAGGAGACTAGTAAATATAAGACCTTATTTTTAATAAAATATAGCGAGGGAAATTATTATCCGTCGCTGGGTTTCATAAAGTTTAGTCCTAACTCCTAAGGGTTTTGGAATCTCTTACTCACGCTTAGACCTATTCTCTCACAGTCTCACGCTCTCGAACGTCGACCTTTCAGCAGTGCAAGCACGTTGACCCTCCGGCGACTGGTATCTATTTCCAGAATGTCGACCCTCCGGCGAACAGCAGGTATCTATTTCCAGTCCTATTCGTCCAGATTGTGTTATGCAATTATCTATTTCTAGATTGTAGATATTGATATTGATGATCTTATCAGGAATTTTATAGGGACAAGAAAAGGGTTAACAAAAATCGACTGCTTTATTATCTTACCCATTCACTTCTTCCTATTCTGGAAAAGATTAACCAAGAACAACGCATTGAGTTGGAGATAGAAGATAACATATCAGGTGAAAACTCCCGCATTTACCTTGTGCATATTTGTTTTTGAATCTAGTCTTAAGCTCTATGTTAAATAGGAAAAGAGAACTTGGGGGAAGTCCAGATAAAGCAGGCTGCAGTGGGCCCCAAGAAGTTATATTGCTGGTAAATTGACCATTACTCTCTTTGTGGTCCATGGTCTAAATTGAGCAGTTATATTGCTGCAGTGCATATTTGTTTTTGAATCTTTTGTTATTGTCTACTGTCTAAATTGCTCTCTTTGTGGTCCATGGAATTGAACGTGGAGCAGCAGTAGCTGCTTAAACTGTTCTAATTGCCAATTTTGAAGTTAATTAATCTCTCCTAATTGTGTGTGTGTGTATATATATTGAAGTTAATTGTGTGTGTGCGTATTTCCAGATTGTAGTTGCCAATTTTGATGTTAATTGAAGTCAATTATTCCTAAACATTTGTAGTTGCCAATTTTCTTCCTCCCTAGAGGGCAGCAATAATGGCAGAAGAAGTGCAACTAGGTCTAGAAGAAGCCCCTTAAATCAACCAATGAATGATATTCCACCTGACTAACAACCTTGCATTCAGAGATATTGAACTCTTTAAAGTCAAAACAATGGTTAATTTCTTTCTTTCCACAGATCCAGCATTCTAGCATCTTAAATCAAGGTCAAGCAAACAACAGTTTTGGTCATTTTGATGTCTTTAATGACTTCTTTTAAGGAACAAGTGTAATCAGGGCCAATCAAATAAATAAAAAGTAAAAGTTTAAAAACATAAGACTTTAGAGTTAAGAAGATTAGAGCTATACTTGGATCAAAATATTCATCCTTGATCCAATCGTCTGTCGTCTCCCCCACTTCTATTGCTAATCTATCTACTGCTTTTACAGACAACCCTTTTCTTTCTTATCTTCAGCTATGATCATTTATCAATGTGAAAAACCAGGTAAAAAATAGGGCAACGTACACCAGATTATATAATAGGGTGGTTCATTTCTTGGTTTGTATATATATGTTTTTTTTTGCGTAAAAATGAACAATGGCTACTCTGATCTTTTATTTATGGACTACTACTGTCTATTTTTATAGGTTTGCTTTAAACGCATGATGCTACTATCCTGCATACTTTCCCTTCGTTTTAAATGTTTTTTTTTTTAAATATGAGGATGTTTTAGTTAAGATGTGATCCACCCAAATTCTTTTATTTGTTAAGATGTGATCATTTGGCTGTTGAGCAGGAAATGCCTTTTAGGTTGTTTAACTCAAACACGTTTGAGATATGCATTTGAGCTTGAGTTCAAAATTTTTGATTTATAACTCAAATATTAAACTCAAAATTTATTTTTATTTTATTTTACATTTTTTGAGGTGGGGGTGTACCAAAACGCACAATTGGATTAATTTTGGAAAATCAATATAGTCGGAGGACCATTGTTAAGTAGAATCTGTCGTTGTTTGCTTGTGTTATGGATTAACAAGAAGGGTGTAAGGAGCTGATACTTTCTTTGTAGAGTAACTAACAAAAGGAGCAGCTTTTTTAGGGCAGGAGTAGTTTACTGTCTATTTTTCTGCTTGATGAATTCTACTTATTTCTAAGCAATTGCTTTACTATCTTTATCTATGCTTGATGTTGTTTTGCATCACCAAAAAATATATTGCATTTTGGGATGCAATGGCCGGCCAAAAAGAAAATATGAAATTTCTAAACGTCCATCCCACTGTTCCACGGTTCAGGATCCATCTAATGTGATACATTCGACCGTTCTAAGCCAGGCTGTTGTCACATGTAGCGGAATACAATTAAACTCACCTCGTTGATTAAGAGTACGTTGTTGATATTGGTTTTAGACTTTCAAGTGCAGGCATTATTTTGCATAGAAAATTCAACTTTTTGTGTAGTGTAAATTCGTTTACTTCTGTTAACCTGATGCTATGTTAACACAAAAATCAGGGTTTGGCTCACTTGATTAATTCATGCCTGGCCTATAAAATAGTGGGAGGCAAATCCTACATGCTCTTTACATGTTTCCAATTTGTCTTTTTAGTGTGATTTCTGCCTTTCTTCTTTGCTCTGTATATGGTTTTGTTTTGCATAATGTTTCTTTTCATCCACTCTTAATATCTAGTCATTGCAATCTCTTATGTTTATGGCTACAAAACGGATTGAAAAGAAATGGAGGCTTGTTTAAAATTAAACAATTAGAATTTGTGATTAAGATCTACAGTTGCATTTTAGAATTCTTTACTTCTGGAATGTATAAATCCTCCACCACCTGCTCAATGGAATTAAAGAAACAGAAAACAGAGTCCTCTTTATATGATTGTTAAGATTGTCTACTGTCTACGTCCTAGCAAATTTGGGAGACAATACTTCTTGCAATGTATCTGTTTTGATGTCAAAAAGCAGATTTGCAATATGGTTTAAACTCATAATTCACAATCCATTGAGGATTCATATTTTGGCTCAGGTGTAGGTGTACTGGCTGTCTGGCAGGCTTTTGATACTCTGGATGCTTGAGAATGCTTGACTGTAAATAGTCATCTTTTTTCTGGGTCATGATAAGTTATGTGATTGCCAAATTTTGATCAACTATTAAAGTGTGGCTTTGGCCTTTGGGTGGGAATATGCTCCTAGTTCAATAGGCTTGTGACTGGCCTCCTGTGTCTTAGATGAATTAGGATTCGTCAAGCAAGTATTTTTTAGAGGTGTAGTGTAATTGGCAGGTTTTTTACTTTGCACTGTAGTCTGCATTGTAAACTTTGGTTATATGAGCAGTACTCCAAATATTCGTGTACATTTGAATGAAGGTGATATGATGTACATTCAAAGGATTGTTTTCTTGTTTTATTTCATGGATATGAAAATGTTGCATTGCACATCTTGAAGGTGATATGATGTACATTCAAGGGAATTGTTTACTGTGGGAAATCAATAAATTTGGGGTTTACTATGCTAAATATGATGTATCATTTTAGATGAACTGAGTACAATTTTTATGATGTTTATTTATAGACTAAGATGTGTCCAAATTGAAAACTCGTTCTTTAGAAATTGTGTCTAATATACTATCATTGTATAATTGCAGTTTCAAGTCGAGAATCAAAATTCGTCAAGCTCTTCTACGATTGATAAGGTATGAACAATTTCAAATTTTTCATTTGTTCTTTATTTGCCGGCTAAACCGCCTGTGGGTACCGGAGTTTTATGACGATATGCATGATTGTTTATTTAAATCTCTTTATTTGCCGGATAAACCGCCTGTGGGTACCGGCATTTGTGTTTTCTCCGGCTAAACCGCCCGTGGGTACCGGATGTTTATGAAAATATGCATGATTATTTATTTTAATCTCTTTATTTGCCGGCTAAACCGCCTGTGGGTACCGGCACTTGTGTTTTCTCCGGCTAAAATATGCAAGTTTGCAAGTATAGTTTTTTTTAAAAGAAAAATTGAAACGTGAGTGTAGAAAAATATAGGTGATAAATACAATGAGTTCAAATCGTCATTGGATGTATACACGAATCAGAAATGGTCTTCTCACAGAGGAGTTTTTGGCTGGTCTTGAAACTTTCATCCAATTTGCTACTAGTCAACATAGTTGGATGGACGGGGAAAGAATTAAGTGTCCATGTAAACAACGCAAGTGTCAAAACACTAAGTTCTTAGATGTGCCTACCGTGAAATTTCACTTAGCAAAATATGGATTTGTGTCGGACTACTATGTTTGGCGCTTCCAGGGCGAGTGCAATGTGAGTGTAGATGTTGATCGAGATGTTGGTGGCCCATCTCAAATGGATAATGAAGAAGCATCTAATGCTTTCCACACAATGGTTATGGATGCTGCTGGTCCTGAATTTAATGTGGATGAAATAGAAGAAACGCCAAATCCCGAGGCCCAAAATTTTTATGACATGCTGAAAGCTGCGGATCAAGAGTTGTGGCTTGGGAGTAAAAAACACTCGCAGTTGTCTCTTGTAGCTCGACTTATGAGCTTGAAATCAGAGAATCACATATCAGAAAAATGTTTCAATCAATTCACTGAACTTTTGAAAGAAGTTGCTCCGGAGGATAATCTAGTTCCTGACAACTTCTACGAAACCAAAAGGCTATTACGGGGTATGGGATTGCCGGTTCAAAAGATTGATTGCTGCAAGAACAACTGCATGATATATTGGGAGTCGGATATAGATATGACAACGTGTAAGTTTTGTGCCCACCCTCGATTTAAACAAACTTCTAGTGGTGCTACAAAACGACAGAAAACTAATGTAGCATACAAAAAAATGTATTACTTTCCTTTGCTTCCTGGACTGCAGAGGTTGTATGCATCTAATGCTACAGCAAATGATATGAAGTGGCATGCAAAGTCAGTTGAAGATGGGATCATGCGTCATCCCTCAGACTCGCTTGCTTGGAAGCATTTTAACGACACTTATCCTAACTTTGCATCTGAAATTCGAAATGTCAGGTTAGGTCTGTGCACCGATGGTTTTCAACCATTTGGACAGTCAGGACAACAATACTCCTCATGGCCTGTGATACTAACAACGTACAACTTGCCTCCTTGGATGTGTATGAAGGAGGAGTATATGTTCTTGACCGTATTGGTTCCAGGTCCAAAAAATCCAAAAGAGAAGATTGATGTTTTTTTACAACCGCTTATTGTGGAGTTAAATCAATTATGGGAAGTCGGTGTTCAAACATATGATATTTCAAAGAAGCAAAATTTTCAGATGCGAGCCGCCCTTATGTGGACAGTTAGTGATTTTCCTGCATATTCGATGTTATCAGGGTGGAGCACTGCTGGGAGGTTAGCTTGTCCGTATTGCATGGACAAGTCGGATGCCTTCACCCTAAAACACAGTGGTAAGCAATCGTGGTTTGACAATCATCGAAAATTTTTGCCACCGAATCATCCATTTCGCAGGAATAAGACCGCATTCTTTAAGAACAGAGCGGTTACAACTGAGGCACCGCCTGTTCGGTCAGGATATGATATCCTTGCAGAGATTGAGACTTTAGGCCTTAAGAAGGTCACTGAATTGGATGCAGCTGAAGTTAATGGATTCATTTCCAAAACTTGCGGTTGGAAAAAGCGAAGTATCTTTTGGGATTTGCCGTATTGGAGTTCACACTTGGTACGGCATAATTTGGATGTCATGCATATAGAAAAAAATGTGTTTGATAACGTGTTCAACACAGTATTGGATGTTACAGGAAAAACAAAGGACACATATAAATCTAGAGAAGAGCTGAATGATTATTGTCGGCGGCCTGAGTTGAAGCAAAACCTTGTGACCAGAAAGTTCCCTAAAGCTTGTTACACACTTGACAAACCAGCAAGGGAAGCATTGTGTGAATGGGTTAGGAATCTCAAATTTCCTGATGGCTATGCATCGAATATGAGTCGATGTGTAGATATGAAGAAGTTGAAGTTGTTTGGTATGAAAAGCCATGACTGTCATGTGTTTATGCAGAGGTTAATACCAATTGCATTTCGTGAGTTGCTCCCGCTAAATGTTTGGAAAGTTCTTACGGAGTTGAGTTTATTCTTTAAGAACCTTACTTCCACTACAATTGCAGTTGAGGAAATGACGAAGCTTGAGAATGACATACCTCTCATTCTATGTAAACTTGAACGTATATTTCCACCTAGTTTCTTCGACTCTATGGAGCATTTACCAATCCACTTAGCTTTTGAAGCAAAGATTGCTGGTCCAGTTCAATATAGGTGGATGTATCCATTTGAGAGGTATAATTTGTATTAGTTGTTTTATATGTTTCCAAACATATAATAACATTGTCACTAATATATGTCAATTGTGTTTAGATACCTTCGAAAATTGAAAAATAATGTCAAAAATAAAGCAAAAGTCGAGGGCTCTATATCCAATGCATATTTGGTGGAAGAAGCATCATCGTTCTGTTCATACTATTTTGAGGACCATGTTAGCACGAAGCACAGAAACGTGCCTCGAAATGCAGATAGTAGTGAATATGTAGGTGACGAACATGAAGAAACTCTTTCTATATTCAAGTATCCGGGTCGAGCATTTGGTAAAGCAAAAGCGAGATATATGACAGATAAAGAGTATAAAGCTGCTCAAACCTATGTGTTATTAAATTGTTCAGAAGTGGAGTCATTTATGGAGTAAGAATTCACTTCTGTTCAATTTGCTTATGCAATGTGTTATAAATGTTAACCCACTTGTTTTTTTTAAAGGGTTTATATTGACGAGTTAAAGAGGAGTCAACCAAACATTTCCAATACTACCATTGATGGTAAATTGGAAAATGAATTTGCAAATTGGTTCAATGACTATGTAAGACTTGTATATATATTATGTATATTAAACTTCAAATTATTTAATAAACTTTAACACTTATATTATGTATTATACAGGCACATGATCCTTCAAATAACATTTCAAACAAATTTATAAAGGATCTTGCAAAAGGGCCACTAACATGCGTTAATACCTATTCAGGGTATTATGTGAATGGCTTTAAATTTCACACCATTGGTTATGGTGGAGCTAAAGAAACAATGAATAGTGGAGTTTGTATAAAAGGTACAAACTATAGTGTAGATGAAAGTGATTATTATGGTCGATTGGTTGAAATTCTACAAGTAGAGTATCCTGGCTTACCAATCAAGAGGACAATATTATTTAAGTGTGAGTGGTTTGACCCAACAAGTGTGGGCATGAAGGTTCATTCTGAGTATAAACTTGTTGAAGTTAATCATAAGCGTAGATTTAATCGCTATGAACCATTCGTTCTAGCAATGCAAGCCGCTCAAGTTTATTATTGTACATACCCAAGTTTGCGTCGCGACAAACTTGACTGGTGGGCTGTTTGCAAAATTAAAGCGAGATCTGAAATAGTAGTTCCTGAATCATCTACATCTACTGAAGAATCACAAATGCCTGCACCATTTCAAGAGGAAACTACCGATAATCATGATCTCATGCAAATAGATGAAGATCCTTTGCATTTAAATGACCCAAATGGTGGGGTGGTAGAATTTGATGGCGAACATGGTGACATCGAAGATGAACTTGAGTTAGAGGAAGAAATAGATGACTCAAGTGGAGGTTCAGTAATAGGAGATAGTGATAACGGTATTGATAGTTACTACATAGTTTACATAGTAAATGGACATGTTATATTTATATGTTATTTAATTTTATAATATTTTATTATTACATAGTAAATGGACATGTTATATTTATATGCTATTTAATTTTATAATATTTTATTTTATTTTATTTTAGATGACACGAGGTGGTAGTAGAGCTGGACGCATAAGAGGACGTGGACGCGGTGCATCGGTTACAGTTCCGAGTTCTAGCCCATCATCGTCTGCACTTCCTTCTCCTGTGGCACCTATTGTGGCACCTCCTCCTCCTGTGGCACCTATTGTGGCACCTCCTCCTGCTATAGTATCTCCAGCTATTGTGTCACCTGCTTCTATTGGTTCACCACCTGACTTGCCGATTCCATCACCTTCAGACACTACTACTCCACCCACATCTTCATCAGTTGCAGGACCATCTACTGCTTGTGATTTGCCTATTGTTCATGTAGAGGCTGGGAGGTAAAAATGTGTTATTATATTTACATTTATGTGTATATATATATTTTTTTATCTTTATTAATCTTTTATATATGTACAGGTTAATGCCTTCTAACACATGTTCAGCTACAATTACAAAAATATTGAAGCAAAGGATCTACCCTGATGGGTATACTTGGAAGAATGTGTCTAATGAATACAAGGAATCATACTTTGAAGAATTTAAGGTAAATTCATGATATGTTTTTTAAAATAGTGTGGTTCATTCTTGAAGCTTGAAGCTTGAAGCTAGAATGTTATTTAATTTATGTTAGTAACTTTGTCCAATGCATCTTATGGATGATATTGCATATATTTGATAAATTTGTAATTTGTAATGTTACAGAAATTTTACAAGTGGGACGACACCATTAACAGTCAAGTACGGAGAGCGTTTTTAACACAAGCAAGCACACGCTATACAGATATGGTCTCTAGGATCAAGAAGAATCGGATTTCATCTGGGAAGCCAGATTTTGTACATGAAGATACATGGCGCATTTGGGAGACATACTGGGATAGGCCTGAAGTGAAAGCTAAATCTGAACAGCAACGCAAAAATAGGATGAGTGAGGTAGCAGGACCTGGTACGGGATGTTCTCGACATACCGGAGGATCTAGATCATCTATTGAGCACTTTCACACACTGGTAATACATTTAACATAAAAATTTATTAGTTGTATATATTTTACGGATTTAAGCATCATTTAATTCTTTGTGCTTGTTTAATAGCGGGAAACACTTCAAAAGGAGCCTGATCTGTTTGAGTGCTTTAAGCATACGCACCAAAAGAAAGATGGTACGTTCGTTGATGAGAGGTCAAAGAGAATCGCTGTAAGTATAACCTAACAACCGTATATTGTTAAATTGATAAAATTCAAATATGCCTTTATATATTTGTCTTATTTTGTATATGTTTTTAATTGTAGGACGAAATACAAGTACGGCGTGATGTTGCAATGCAAGAGGCGGAAGGGTCAACTGAGACACCAGTTATAGACATGTCACAGATGTATGTGGATGTTGTTGGTGGGGTAAAAAAACAGCGTATCTATGGCTTAGGGTCCAAGTCATCTACATTAGTCAGCAGGAATAGCTGTAGTTCATCTGCTACTTCACAATTTCAACAAGAGGCAATGAAGGATATGGTGAACCAACAGTTAGATACCATGCGAGTTGAGATGGAAGCTAAACTACAAGCTGAAAGAACTCAAATGCAGGTTCAAATGCAAGCTGAAAGAACTCAAATGCAGGTTCAAATGCAAGCTGAAAGAACTCAAATGCAGGTTCAATTGCAAGCTCAAATTGCAAGTTTGATGGATGAGTTGCGTCGCAATGGCATGTTATCCAATCCAAGTACTCAAGCTCAACATTCGGCTAATCCAAATGATGAAACCTTAGGAGATGATTAGATTATGTTTATTAATATATTTGGTACTGGTTCTAATGATGTAACATTATACTACAACACTTTTGTTGTTGTTATTCACTTTGAATGCTTTTTAATATAGTATATTTTATAATTATATTATTCAAGTACTATATTATAGGTTTAATGCATGTTTCTGATATTAATTAGCGGGTATAATTGTTTTTCTAATTTGGTAGTAATGTAACGAAATAGCAACTGAAAAATCCGTAGTTAAATTTAGCGACGGATATTTCTGTCACTAAGTTGTAGTTAAATTAAATTCAATTCAAATAATAATAAAAGAATAGCGACGGATAATTTCCGTCGTTAATATAACGACGGACGGTAGCGACGGTCACGTCCGTCGCTATATTTAGCGACGGAAAAATCCGTAGCTAAGTCGTTGTAAATCTCGTCGCCGGAGCATAGTAGTAGCAATTTAACGACGGAATTGTTGCTGCTTTTGCGACGGAATTTCCGTCGCTAATTATGGCGACGGACTATTCCGTCGGTATTTGCTTGCAATAATCCTCTTCGGATCCGTCGTCGTAAGGAGTTTAGCGACGGATATATTTTGGCTAGCGACGGAAATTTCCGTCGCTAAGCCTAGCGACGGAAAATAAATTGTCTCGCTAACTTTTAGCGAGGAGGGTTTTTGTGACGGACGAATTCCGTCACTAATCCGTCGCTAAATACTTTAGCGACGGATTTTCACTATTTAGCGACGGAATTTGTCCGTCGCTATTCTTGTGTTTTTTTGTAGTGAACAAGACGCTCAAGGGAACATATAAATCTCATCCTAGGCCAACGGAATAACAATTCAAACCACATGCAGATACCTGAGACTCACAACCCCCAAAACGGTACCCGAAACATCAAACAAGACCCATAATTATCAAATAGGGCACGTGGAAACACAAAACGGGACAAAACGACGCACCGCCCCGCCTGTACCAGCGGGTGCACGGTGGGTGGTCGTCCACCTGTCGGCCGCCTGCTGGTACTGTGGTGTGTTCCTGGCGGTTGGTCAAGTGGGGGTTCGTCCCCCCACCGACCCCCAGCTGGTACGATGGTAACCTGGCAATTTTCCCTTTCAGAAATTCATCAATTAAACCCAAAATCAAGTCCAAATACATCCAACACATAACAACAACAATAGGGACATGAGCACCTAGAATTAAGTCAAGAAACAACACAATTAAATCATAATTACATGCTCCTAACATATCAAGACTCAAGAATAAATCTCAAATCATGCAAGAACATCAAGAACCTCAAGAATAACAAGAAACCACATACCAATCCTAAAGACAAGCTCTAGACAAACCCGAACCCAAGATCATGCATACAATGAATTGCAAATATCAAGATCTGTAACACCCCGTGTTACGGCCTTCAATCCCGGATTAATTATTTAATTAATCCCGTTAATAATAATTAAATATGATTTAATTCGGTTAGGTTTCCCTTTAATTAATTAATGAGGCCCACCATGAACCGTGGACCCTTGCCTAAATGAGAGTCTTAGGCCTATTAGGAATAAAGGAAGTAGGCCTT